GGAGTTCACGGTTAGGACCCAATAGCAAGACCACAGGAGACAGAGTACGGTGAAACAGACTTTATTTAGCCAGAGTAAGGAAGACAGGAAGGTGTGGAGCCCGTGGTCCGACACCAGAGAGTATGCAGCTCGACGGTACGAGTCCCGTGGCTCAACACCGGAGGGCTGGCAGCTTGACGGCGTGATGTCCCGTGGCTCGACACCAGAGAGTAGGCAGATCGACGGCGTGATGTCCCGTGGCTCGACACCGGAGGGCTGGTAGCTTGACGGCGTGTGTAGTCCGTTAACACAACAGAGGGCAGAGCGGCGGTGTGTAGTCCATTAACACCACGGAGGGCAGAGCAGCGGTGTATAGTCCGTAAACACAAAGGAGGGCACGGGGATTCCCGGACCGACGGACACCGGAGGCAGGCGCTTGAGGCAGAAGCTGCAACGGGGTTGAAGCGGGTGAAAGACGGTACGACCTGACAACCCCAGACTGCAGGACCAGAGTTTATATAGTGCCAGGGGAAGCATTAGTGGGACCCGAGTCTGGTGTGTCAGCCTGCAGGAGGTAATCGGCTGGAGTGGCTGCAGCTGTGTGGCCATGGGAGGTGTCTGGTCTGACAGAGATCCTGACAAAGAGCCAGAAAGTTTGCTGAAAAACACACCGGACTTTTACTCAGAGGGCTTGTATTTGTAAAACCGAAAGATGTGTTATTTTTTGACGCCAAGCCATTGAGTCACATCACACCCGTAGCTTAGGTTACATAAGAAGTGAAGTTATTTTAAGCCAAACCATGATGTTTTTTCTAACCTTAACCAAGTAGTTTTGTTGCCTAAACCTAACTGCCACCGCGTCACGATGTTAACCACGCGCTAACCACCTGCATCAAGATACTACGCAAAAAGGCCCGGCCCAAGAGGCAAAATATGACGAGTAGGGATGAGACCACATTGCAGCTACATAAACAAGACAAGGTGTCTATGTAACTAATTTGGTGTTTTTTAGAAGTACTTTTGATGGAGCCTGACTAGCTTCTTGGCTTGTTTTTTAGCCTTTGTGCTAAGCTGGGCTAAACATCCCGGACCAATCTCTATGTTAACCACATGGAGACGATACTGGTTTCAATCTTCTCGTCTCATCAAACAAGAGGATTTTAAAAATGTCCTTTTAGATGACCATCATCTCACGGAGGCGGAGAGAATATTTTGACAATAAGCAGCATATAGCTGTCATGTCAGTCATCCAAAGTGAATTCTTACTTGTGCCGTGTGTGTTTTATGCATACAGCTGTGGTGATTGTATTCTTCTTTTCTCATCTGACTTTGAAAATTTGACGTGCACATTTGCCTTATGTTGGATTCATTTGTGGTCTTAAGTTCTTGAAAACACAGGGAAAGTTCAGTTCTGTGTTGAAGTGTACTGTCAAAGAAATAAAATGTTCTACAATTTTCTTACACAGGGTTTTCTCTTTTCGAGTTTGGTTTGCGACCAAAGACCCTGTAAGTTCTGTATACGTGCATATAGTTGCACAGGTTTAAATGGGAACAGAACACATAGAGCCAAGTTTGAGACATGACCCAGTTAACAACAACAGGTAATTTGTTTAAATGGGATGCAAAGTAACAATGTATTTTAGTATTTTTTATTTTTTTTTCAAGCAGCTCTGCAACATAGGACATTGAACTCCTCTGCAGTACTTCTTCAAGGAAAACCAACAACCTGTCTCCCTTCTGTCCCCTACCAGAGTTCAGCTGTAGTTACTAGCTGTTGTGATAACATAGCAAAACATATTCACCCTCTGAATATGAATATGCATGCATGTTTTCCCATTGACATTTCACACCTGTCAGACAACAGCATTAATAACTTTTCTTTGTTGTTGTAATTTGCTAAAAAAAACAAGCAGAAACTACAGATTTCCCACTTTAGGATTATTTAATCATAAAAGTGGAGTGAAGTTCCATTTACGAGGTTTGTTTTCTTGTTTTTTAAGGATTCAGCGCTCAGATAAGCACATTGGAATTGGCCATCCTGATTTATTTTTACTCCCTTCTTTATGATTATGGCTCTACTTGAGATTCCCAATGAGGATCTAATTTAGTCTTCATTTCGCATGTTGCATTAGTTTTTTTTCTTGTGGTGCAACTCAAAAACAGAAGTGAAGTGCTTCTTTTAGAAAGTGTCATTTCTATTTATTTCTGAGGAAAAGAGCGGCTTACAACACTAACGAAACTTGAAATGTGAACTATAATGACTTTCAAACTGGAGCTAGCAAAGAGCTAATATTCAAGCTAGCTGTACATCAAAATGTCCAATATTATCCCCTTTAAATCTCCATTCTCCACTACCGCCCCTCCTCACTCGCGAGCATGACACTCCCTCCTCACTCACTCGCACACTCGTTCCCTCCCCTCCTCTCTCTAACTTCGTTTCGTCCCTAAAAACTAACTTTTCAACCGTATTGATAACTTGTCCTCAAATCCCCGCTGTGACGAAGAAGAAATGACTGTTAAGACGAGGGGGAAACGGATTAGCGAGCACCGCTTCTGACAGGTAACGTAAACGGCTTCTCTTTTTTCTTTTTTTCTTTCTACGTCACCGCTTCGTGGTCGATGTGAACAAGGCTACTTTTGTGCGTGGGGTTTTTGTATTATCGATAAATGATATTGGTGCTACTGTAGGCTTACAAATCACTTCCGCAGTCACATGATCCACTTTCTTTTTTAAATAAAACGTAAAGACTTAATGAAGGAGAAGTTAGCTTAAAGATTGACAAAGTAAATGTGAGGTCTGTGAAGGGAGGAATGATATGTATGTGTATAGCCTATAACAACTTCTAATGGTTGACAATGAGACCTGTGCTTTACCTTCTACAAACTGTGGAACAATGGTGGGCGACGGATATTAATCAGTCATAACTACACACTGCATTTGAATAGCACTTCATTTCTTTAAGTTAAGATAGCCTGAAGTACTCTGAAGGCCTGAAGCGCGGTGCAAATCTTCATTTTAAGTTTACAGTGACAACACACAACACAATTGCATTCCGTTGTCTTTTTGCTACTTATCTAATCATAAAAAATGACTCAAGTGCAATGAGTAATGTTCCTAACTGAGCAGCGGAAACTTACCCTGAGGTCATGTACTGTATATATTTTGGGGGGTTATTGAGAGTTAATTTTTTACAATTAAAAACATATGAGGCATGTATTTTCCTGGCTCATTCTGGTTGGGTAATAGATGTATTATATATACTTCAATTTTGATTACTTTTAGGCAAAGAAAAGAGAGATTAATTATGAACTTTGGGATAATATCAATCCTCATCCTCCCTTTTGATACTTGACACGTTTGGATACTCAGACACATGGCAGTCGGTGCTCAGAAAATAGTGAGGTTTGGTCCTCAGCCCTGTGGAGGCCTTACTGCACTTCTCCATTACAGTTTTATTCCTGGCATTGTGCAGATGGCTTTGAAACACTTTCACCTACGTTTTGACAAATATCATTTTATTTTATTATATAAATATTTTCATTATTCACTTATCTATACATTTTTTCTAATTAATTAACTTATCACTGTCTATAAAATGTAAGAAAATATGGAGAAAAAAAACACACCACCACAAGAGCCATTCTCAGAGTCCAGAGGCATGTCTTTAAATGTCTCGTTTTAGTGGATAAACCCAAATATATTCAATTTGCAATGATAAAACAGCAGATCTTGACATTTGAGAAACTGGAACATGCACGTAAAATGGCTTTTGTTACAGAAATTCTAATTATTATTTATTTGCAAATTTTCCAGGTAGGGCCATCCTATCAATTTCAGCAAACATCCCAGTATGATTTAATGCAAAAAAATGAAAGTATCAAACACGCATTACTACTTTGCAGTTAAATATTTAACATTTATTCCAACACGAAAAAAAGCAGTAAATAACACTTATATAATATAATATAACATGTTTATTTATTGAGATGCCCCTATGGACCTTGTTATCCTCTTTTCACTCCTGCATAATTTGCCTAAAACGCCTATCAACCGCGTACCCAAAGTAAACTGACAGCTCTTATTGAACCATTGGGAGTACATGTATGGTTTTAGTCTTTATTGAACGGCAACACTCTGAAGTTTCTTCACAATCAGTCAGAATCATCGTAAGTGCTATTAGCATTGAGCTAATGCGTTTTCAGCACAGTGAAAGAGAAGCATTTTACTTCCGCCTAGATTTGTTTTGGCCAACAGATGGCAGCAGCTATCTATGGCTGGGACTTACAGGCTTGAAAAGACTCTCATTCGACAGCCAACAGTCATGACGCCTAGTATAAGTTAAAATTTGATAACAACACGACAGATAATTAATATTTGACACATGGTTTACTAAGGGTGCGGCCGCGTAAAGATGCATTTGGATGCTCGCGTCACCATGTCAAAATGCATATACTATGATAAACTATGTGTTCGAAATAAAGTTTATTTAAGTCGATGTATGGTTAACTATATCATATCTAACCAGTATCAACTTTCACAGATTCTTGAAAACTTTCATGAACCAGTTTGTAGTCTTCACACTCTGTCCCGAGAACTTGACTCATGGTTTCCAGTTCAGGTTAGAGAACATTCCCAGCATTCAAGCTGATAAATTTGCATATCCCTGGCTTCATAATTTCATTGTCTATGTGGAGCCTGAGTTTGAACAGGATCTGTTGCGATTGGCTCGAGCTTTACCCAAATAAGTGGTGTCAGTCTAACCGGCAGAATGTAGCCTCCATTTTGCGATGAAAATCTCGCTCTGTTGACATGAAAAGTGAAATTATGCCCGAAATATGATCGCGAGTTATCATATCTGCTGGCTAATTTGAAATGATGCAACAGCCCCCCGTGGGTCTTTATGAACGTACTAATGTGTTTTGGACTAAATCTTTTACTGGATTCGATCGAGTGGACCCTTAGCCACCTAGCAAGACCGTTTTTGCTGGACTAGCATGCACGAGGGGGACGTTTTGGATCATAATCGGTGAGTCACGGCGATATTTTATCGGCTATTTTTGGAGTGCTTGTTTGACAGAGACGTTAACTGTACCTGCTGTTATTGTATCTTGAAATGGTTTGCAGAAATCGAATTACAAGAACTGTAGCTTTCTAATGATATCACATTAATACTCATGTTACAGGGCAGTTGTGTGCATAACACAAATATGCAGTTATCACTCTGACGGCCCAGTGAGAGGAGGTTAAAGGCAGTAAAGATCAGGAGAAGTAAACCTGAAGTGTAATTATGAATACTGATGTTAAATTAAGCTCTGATGAGTTTTCACTGTTAATCTACCATCTCAATTAAATGTTGATGCCTCCATGACCAAGTTAAGCAGATGAGACTGAGGACAACTATGTAGAAGAAAAGATGTTCACTTTGTCTGATATGTAGCTTGACAGAGTTCTCCATGTGTGTCCTGGTGTTCTCATGTTTCCTAACCTCCTCATCCCTCGCTCCCGTAACTGTCCGTGCTGGATCTGTCCCCATTGTTTTAAAAAGCTAAATAAGTTATTAGCATGACGTCATCTTGCTAGCCAAACCTGTCTGGTGTACATTAGAGAAGCTTCGCATGTACTGCTTCACTTTCCCACTAGTCTGCTGTCTAATTGTGAAGTCAGGCTGATGTGGGATCAGCTCTTTGGCCTGTAGAATCTCCTGCAAACGAGACTTGGAGGAGTAGTGCTCGCGCTGGCGCTCGCGCACGCCTGTAGAGACTTCTCCTGACGAGAACGCGCAGGGCGGAGAGGACGAGCGGGAAAAGCATATATTTTGTGCAGATATCATATTTTACACATATTACTGGGTACATGCCATAGCTCAAAAACACAAATATTGACAATTTGTATAATTTATGATTATTATAATTATTTTTTTTTGTGTGGCTCAAGGTGGGGCCATGCCCCATTGCCCTCTATTGACCAGCCGCCACTGTTTATTTGAGTGAATAAATGAAAAATGAAAATACGGGCTCAGTGTCTGAGTGTAGCTTTGCTTCTGTAGATAATAATGTCTTAAAGTGCCACGAGCTCTCTTCAAAATCAATATTGAGTAGCAAAGACCTACTTATGATAAACTTTATTGGTATAGCACTTATCTTAATAACAACGTACCCACCAAAATATTTTCCATTGAGTTGCCCAAGTAACTAAGCAAGTAACCCAAAGCAGTCTGACATCAGTCTGATTCAGGCTTACAGGCATCCTCAGTCCGGACTTGTCTTCATGTCTTCGTCTCGGCTGCAAGTCCACCGTCCTCATTGTTCACCACGGAGGAATGTGAAGGTCTAATGTCAAAATGAATGTACAAAATTGAGCTTTCCTTGTTTATTAAAAAGGCAAACCACAAAAAAACGCATGAAAGCCCCGGACAGCTCGCTGCATTAGAATGGACCCCAGTCTAGACGTTTGTCAAAATCACTACCAAAGGGTTTTCCAGCATGCAGGCCTTTGCCAAGAGCTCCACTCGGGTCATGTAATTTACTCTCATGTTCAGAGCAGAGAGACCACAGCAGCTCAGCTCAGAGCTTGTAGAGTGATGCTGCTGCAGTAATGGGCCGCTTATGACCTTCAGGCCTGCTCGTCTCGCCATCTGGGTGTGCGTGGCTAGACCTGTCTGACCAACTCAGAAATGCATCTTGGGAAGTAAATATGAGGTTAACAAAGTGTGCAGAGGTGTAACACAATATCCGGATTTCGCTGTTTTTATAGCAGATGGGTATCATTTTATTTTTTGGGAACTATAGAGGATTAAGAATTTGGAAACTATTTGTCTAATCTTTGACACCAATGACTCCCACGTGATCGGACAGTAGTGTTTTTAGTTCAGTCTACATTACTATGGAAAGCCTGCATCATCAGGAATACAGCTGTGTCTAATTATTCAAGGAATGCGAGGGTTTTTGTAAGAAAAAGGCTGCGCAGAATATGGGCCGGCTTTCTCTAATCCTTCTCTTCCCCCCACTGTTCCCTCAGCTGAGCTCCTTCGGCCACAGTCCCCCCGCCTGATGAGACGATGAGAACCCACACCCGCGGGGCCCCCACAGTCTTCTTCCTAAGCCTGCTGTGGCCCCTGCTCGCCCCTGTGGTGGCGGAAGTGGACCCCAGCGGAGGAATCCCCTTCATGGGGGGCAACTACAACGGTCACCCCATGCTGTACTTCAACCGGGGGGACGTGGAGGAGCTGCAGTATGCGGCCGCGGGGACTCACCGGGACATGTCGAGGAGGATCCGTGACGCGGGCGAAACCATGCTGGAGCACCCGGAGATGTACCTGCCCCCCTGGAGCCCCGCAGAGTTCAGCGCCCGCTGGAACGAGGTGTACGGAAACAACCTGGGCGTACTGTCCATGTTCTGCATGCTGTACCCGCACAGGGCGGGGGCCCTCGACCTGGCCAAGGACTACATGGAGAGGATGGCGGCTCAGCCTAGTTGGTAGATTTTTCTGTCTTTTAATTATTTTATACTCTATTGTTACGACTTAGTGTGTTTATTGCCGAGTATTCCGCATGAGGAAATTTGAACCACCCTCTTCTTAGCATCAGCCCCTTTTTCTTTTTACAGAGACAAATGGGTGTCTGTTCAGAGCTTACGGATGGTACCTGATATCTGTTTCCACCCTCATGTGTGTGTGTATCGGCCAGGGTATTAATGCTGAGTCAGCTCAGAGGGTTTCTGGTCAGCCCCGATCTCAGGAGTGTTTCTCGTTTTCCTCTGCGGGCCAGAGTTCTGGTAAAGATAAGTCTGCGCTCCAGGAAATATGTTTAGCAGCTGTTTACCGAACATGAAAGGAAATGAAATGTTCAGATGTGAGCTGAATAGCCCGACTGCAGGGACCTGGGCTGAGATTGAAGCTCAGGGTACAGGTGACGTGGTATAATCACACCTGGGTATAATAAGCAGTGTAACTAGTGAGAGAGCCTATCAAGGCCAGGTGGCTGGTGTGGATGGGTAAAACAAACAAAAACAAACACAGGACTTTCACCCAGGAGACCACTGTTGTGTGAAACCAAACATAAACATTGACCTTACGCTTGATACGTGACATTGTTACGCTCGTTACTTAACGTTATGTAAGACAGTCTGCTAAGGGCGGTCCTAATTTATTCACGGTAGTTCCGGTTGTTACCTTATTCTTTTAACACAAACCATCATCTTTTTTGTTTAGAAACGTCAACATTCGACGTGTCCTGTGGTTTCCAGAAACATACAATGCCAACATTTGTTTTTTCTGGCTACTGGGTTGTTGGATTTATTGGTAGGGGAGCATTTGCCATGGTGAGATTAAATGAGCTGACATCATCCAGTATTTTTAAATAAAGAAGCAAAGAGTAGAGCAAACAAAGTTTTCTTTGAACTTTGAGCTTTGTTCACCTTTGAACGACTGATTTTTAAGATAATCAGGAAACCAGTGGTGATCATTTTACCACCAACCAATTGCCAGACAATAAACTCTGGGCTTTCAGCTCATTGTCAAAGGACAGATCTCCTAAATCCTGTTCGAATAGATTGCCTTGCAATCCTTGCGTCCTTGCCATACTCCACACCATGAGAAGTACAACCAACAAGTCAGCTGAATCCATCCATTCAGCCACGTTTGAACAATCCTCGGGCTTTTCAGAGTCAGCCACGGCTGAGCGGGGCGCAGTCATCGGCCGACCACGGCGCTTCCTTATTTCCCTAACAATTTGATTAGGTTCAATGAACATTAGTTCTGCCTTGCAAGTGCAAAGTGGCCCGAGAAGTGGATTACAGCCATTCACCGCTCCGCAGCTCTCCACGGCTTTTATTTCAAAGACAAAAGGAAACGAAGGACTCAGAAAAGTGACGCTTGGAGAGAAGGTGGTTGCATCCAGTGTCGGGGCCCATGGCAACCGTCTGCTGTTCACTCACATTTATTCACATCATCTCACTGAATTAGTGCTGACTAGCTAGCTACGCTGACTTGTTAACATAAACCATCTTTGATCAAATACGTGCAGAAATCCTGTAGAGTTATTTACAAACCAAAATCATCCGTTCCCAAAAATAGTCTTATGCTGTAGATATCAGTTACCTCTCTCTGTATTTACGATACATGGCACTGCCTCTGTTCATTTTTCATTTATATTTATTTATTATTTTTGATTGCAGTGTGTGTTGACTGGCCAATCATCTCAGAAGTGGGGCCGCTTGCCAAATTTTTTAAACAGAAATTAGTTGAATGATTCAACCAAACATTCAACATTATTTTCTTAATTTAGCCACATAATAACAGTAGTTGGACAAAAAAATGAAAACGGCAAAGAGCCTCGCTCAAGTCCTCGGCCGTCGCAGCTGATAGACGCAAAGTGCATTCTGGGAAAACTTAGCTACCCCGAGTCCACACAAGTCAGCTCCCAAAGTATCCTGGATCAAAGAGGTGGAGCCTGAACATTTCCAGTCATTTGGACTGTACTTTGCTAGCGCTGCGCTACCGTTATGCTACATTTGAATTATAGTACATTATAGTCATCATAAATCAGTAGTTACAGATCATACTACATTTAACACACTGTTGATATACTACTCTACTATATTCCAACAACTCCTCTACCTTGAGTTTTTTGTTCCTTTTCAAAGTTTCCATAGATTAATCATTCTCATTGTGGTGCATGGCTGCCTCCAGTCATTCAGCATGTGAAAGGGTATTTGGGTATTTTCCCGCAACTCATTTCAAGGCAGGGGGGTGGGGGGGTTTAAGCTGGTGTGGTATTATTGTAATTTGCGTGACATTTTTCACAATATCAGCGCGTGTGCCACAGTGCAGAAAGGAGAAGCCACTGAGCATGTGTTTTCACAACTTAAGAACACACTGTGAGTTTTCTCCTTGGCCGCACTTTCACTATGGTCACTGAACCTCTGAGGGCTTGTGCAGAGCGGCTCCAGGAACCAGTCGGCTGTGGTATTCACGGCCTTCAATTATGTCTCCGACGACTCCGTGAACCATGTTAGGACGGGGAGCTTCTACTTTGTGGCATACTGGTGCCTGCTTCTTCTTCTTCTTTTTTCTTCTTTTTACACAGTCTGTGCAAACATACGGAAGTGTGATTTTGTGTGCTTTGGCATGATTCAATATACAGTCCACCTGTGACTTGGCATCCATCGTTTTTTTTCTTGCCGTACGGGCAAATTGCAGCGTAAAGAAGCGACCCATTTGGTGTTCATTTACATGAGCAGACAGGAAGTGGTTTTCAAATAAACCTCAGCTGCCACTTAACATGTGGAAGCAATGCATTGCCAACATCAAATGGATGAACCAGTCTCCACTTTCTTTGCCATTTCGTGCTTTGTTTTCAACACACGTTTAGAAGTACATCATCTTTGCGGTTCAAAAACTTCAACAAGAACAATTATAATTCATGCACTCTAATTATTATGCTCTCACCCAAAAAACAAGCTCTCACGTCAGTAGGCCAATGGTGGCATTAGGTGCATGAGTGAGTTCGTACGCAGAGGACGTCGGTTGAGTCTGCGATTTGTGGACACATTCACGTACACACTGCTAAAAGAATGTGGCCATGTGCAGAGCAGATTACATCAGATTGTGGTCTGAGCGAGCGGCTCTTAATGCGTCCTCGATGTGTCTTTGGGCGCATTCACAGCTGTACTTGAAATATGTCCACTTGTGATCGCATCACCCAGGACACATGTCAATGGCAGCTCTGAACACGGCCTTAGATTTCGAGCCTGATTCATCGAGTCCCACATCTGAGGTTCCTCTCTTTTTAACCAAAGTGAGCAGAATGATTACAAACACAACCCCTTTCACTCTTTTACAACACCGACACTTAGCACCCTGAAAAACCCACAGGAGTCAGCGTTCTTAGATCCTAGCGCCCGTAAACCAGGGGAGAATTTGCGCACACTACACTTTTAATGTCTGTTTATTGGGAAGCAATGGTGCAGCATTTGTGGTGCAAACTGCTACTAGAAAGAAAGGGCTTCTTGTTCATAACGAACATTTTCCCAGGGGCTTCATTTTAAAGAGTGAAAATTTGCCACTTGATTACCGTAGAATGTTTATTTTCCATGTGCTCCACATTATGTTTGATGCCTTGCCTTGAGCCTTGTGTTCGTTGTTTTTCTATCGCAGGTTGGTTAAAGACGCCCCCTGGGATGAAGTTCCTGTGGCGCACTCTTTGGTCGGGTTCGCCACCGCTTACGACTTCCTGTACGAGTACTTGAACAAGGGTCAACAGGAGCGGTTCCTCCAGGTGATCGGCAACGTGTCGCGCCTGATGTATGAGAAGTCCTACGTCCGGGGCTGGGGGTTCCAGTACCTGCACAACCACCAGCCCACCAACTGCGTGGCGCTGCTCACGGGAAGCCTGGTTTACATGACCCAAGGTTAGTGGATAGGGAGTCATGCCTTTGAAATGTCTTATGTGTTTGATTGTATAGAAGTCTGATTTATTACCTCAGTAAACATTGTAAACATGAGTTTATGGTCTCAATCTGTAGTTTCAAGTCTTCTTCAATACAGCATGATGTTCATTTAGTAAATTATGGTCCATTTAGAGTCAAATAGACGATTAAGCAGGATATGCTTCGGGGCTTGGCGACCTTATGATTGACAGTTGTCTTATTCACCGTTAGGTTGTACTTAGCTCCACCCTCTCGTGTCACTTCGGTTTCCAAAAAAACAAGATGGCGACTGCCAAAACACCAAACTCGAGGCTTCAAAACAGCAGTCAACAGTCTAATTGATGACGTCACATTAACTATGTCTATGGTTTTCACCCTCGTAGAGGCGGGGCCTAAAGATGAGGGTGTTGGTCATTATGTGTTGTGTGTTTAGAGCAAGAAACCTTTACAACCAGTGGCTAAGATATTCATATTCCCTTGAGGAGGATTCCCAGCGTTTACTGATATTTTAGTTCCCTTTATATATTTGATCAATTAATGTGTAACTCCTTCACTCAGCAAGGGAGCTCATTCCAGCTCTGTGTGGGAGCTTTAAGGGTCAGAAACCTGCCTTGCTCAGCATTAAGAACCTTCAGCTCAACTAAAGGAATTCCATTAGTCTGTTTTTTACGGTGGAGGTTTAGTCTCATGGTCTTAAGGCTGATTCAGAGGATTTAGACCCTACTAAGGATGCAGTTGTGGAGGGATTACAGTAAAAAAATGTAATTTTTATGCCTCAGCAACAGCCATTGCCAGAGGCGTTACGTTTTCGAGTCATCTGCCGGACAGACAAACGCACGGACGGATGTCTCAGAAGCATCTAGATATTGGTTTTGATTATTAGCTCACAGAAATATATACAGTATACATTTGCGTGGTATATATGTCATGTCTTGTCATTTTCATGGTGAGACTCCGTCTGCTTCGGAGAGAAACTGACTAGAATTTCAGTGCAGTCAGCCTGAGGCTTAGCTGCCATAGCTGCACTTAATCCTTTGTAATTATTCTCCAGGTGAGGTTCTCCACATGACTCTGCAGCACTTCCTTTGTGAAACCTGACATCATTATTCACCGCCGAATGTTTCTCAATGCCTCAATATCCTTGCGCTAAATATTTTTGAGTAGGAGGCAAGCAGAGAAAAGGCCATCGGGAGGTTAAAGGCCCGCAGTGCTTTGCCTCCAGGGATTTTGATTTCTGCCACTAAAGATCCGGCCCTGACGTGAACTAAATGGCAGCTGGCTTACAGAGAACCGCTGTGGTCACGGTGGTTTTATTTGAGGCTTTTAAAAGAAATGTTGTAGAGGGCAACAACAGGCGCAAAGCTCAGTGAACACCGACCTCTGTTTGCTTTGTTACATTTTGCGTCGAGCCGAGGAAAAAGTGAGTTTCCAGCCTGTCTTTGTCACCCGGGGAAGGGCTTGTGCTCTGTTTATGTTTATGACTCATGGTTTTATTTTGCTTAAAGTGTGCTTTACAGCAGACCTCGTGTGGAGATGAGATTGTCACACCTTAGCAGAGGTGAGAACATAGCTTCTTAAAAGTTTACTGGCATGGTGAGACTTGCAACTCTGATGTATTTGCAGTGATTTCTCTTTTTAGCTGCGTCATATAACTCTCACCTCGTGTCTCGTCGAACACTCTGCAGAGGCCCGACTGAATTCCGTGATCACGTAGGTATCATTTGTATCAAGGGATGACATTAACGCCCAAATATTATTCTGACTAAAATGCCTGAGAATAAATGGAAAGTTTCCAATAAGCCCTGCCAGAAGAGAAGAAGAAACTCTTTGTCTTCTTTATTGGTTCTACGACACAAACGTTAAGGACAATTGCTGACTTTTTGATTTTTTGAGATGCTGCAATGTTCCACATTCAAATCAAACTGACACCCAAACGATCCCTTTATCTCCGTCCAATGAGGAGCAGCGTTCATCCTCGATAGCAACACTCTCAACTTTGCTTCCCCCCCAAAAAAACTCTCTTTCTCCTTCCCTTTCCTCTATTACTGCTTTTAATAGACACATGAATGCACTGCTCCCCCGCTATTGAGCTGTCGGACTCTGGAAAACATTGTACTTCATCACTGGCTGTCCTGCCCCCTAATATATAAAATAGATCAGAATAACACATTAACAAGCTCCCTGGTCAGTTGTATACAAGATCCCTGCAATTGCATCATCGGCCGTGTGTGACGAGGAGAAGAGAGTAAAGTCAACGAGTGTTGTTGGAAATAACAAATCCCTTGACCTTTCACATTCCTCTGGACATGATGTGTGCTGAGGGAGGGATCCGGGTGTCCAGACCCAGCGCCCTGGCTAACAGCATGGGAGACATGGGAGACAACGTGGGTTAACGTGATGACTCTCTTTTTCTTATTTATCCTTTTCGTTGACGTCTTTGGTATTCCAGTAATCGCTGTGTTGTAATTCTATGTTCAGCACGGTGTCCTCGCTTTCCTTGGATTTAGTTTTGATGACGCAGGAGTTTCAGTGCACTTTTCACGAACATGCTGCGTATGCAAGCAGCTGGAAATCTAAATTGCGTACTTGTCTATGTGGTAGAGGCTTTTAATCCCAGGAAATGTCTACTTTGCACACACGAGTGTTGTAGTTCCCATCAGCTCTGTGTAGCTTTTTAAAGGGCTAATTCCAAGGTAACGTTAGACAAAAACAGAAGCCAGAAGGCAAACATCTTGTGTTTCCAAATTGCTCCTGGGTCTTCAAGAGGGCCAAAAAAAATCAATCAATGCAGCTAAATATATGATTTAGTTTACTTGAACCAGATTGTTTCGCGCAGACACTGACAAATTGTGTTTAGTATTCCTGGAAAGCTGTCATAAGGGTTTATTTTAATATCATGTTTTTACTTTTGAGGAAAGAAAGTAGCGAAGGGTCTCAAAGCCCGAGCTGCTCTGGAGGATGGCCCTGGACTTTGTGAGCGCCGGTGAAGCTCTGTTTGTGTAAATATTGGGTAAATATGGTCTTTGTGTATGCCAAGAGTTCCTGTTTGATGGTAAATGCCTGCTCTGTGTAGGCCGGCGGTCCCCAAACCAAACACTGTTGGGGACGGCTCCAGGGGGCGGACTCGGCCGGCTGGGCCAGTCACCGTCGACGGCCCTGTGGATTCCTCAATGAACTGAGGCCGGAGTGTTTATGCGGCCGCCTGTTCTCATAGTAAAGTCTGTGTGCGTGTGAGAGAGTATACACGCTGTAGTGTGCCATAGTGGTGTCACGCTTTCCATAGCCACAGGTAAATGTTGTGTGTGTGTGTGTGTGTGTGTGTGGAAGTTTTCTTTAGGTAACAGAGTGAGAAGCTGAAGCTAACACACACACCCTAATCACTTTGTAATGCAGGATCTCTCATTTTTAGTCCAGGTGCGACTCTATTCGAGAAGCACTTTCATGGCCCCTGCTTGCAAAGAGGATTACTGCGCTCCCACTTTGGATAAAAAGAGTAAAATCTGTTATTGTCCATGTATGTTGTTTAATACTTTTCTGCAGCTTCTCAGATTGTAGACCAGGGCAAATTTGATTAGGTTTTGTTAATCAGGTTTTTATTTATTTTATTTTATTATAAAATGAACTTAATTGCAAAAACCATACTTTCAAAAATCATATCAAATATTGAAATACTGTGTAAAATTTGAAGTATCCACCATCAGAGGACGCTGAAGATGTCAAGCATTAGACTTTTGAACCAATAGGATGTCGAGATAAGATATTCCTATGGTTAGTTAATTGATTTGAGGATATGAATCTGTTAGCTAAAGATTACCAGAAAGGTAGAAAAACACAGTCACACAACCAGAAACTGTTTGTCAGCCGTGCGATGCATTCACTATTTCAGTATATGGGCGAAAAACTGACCAAAAGCATTCATAATCCAGGGTGTTCTCCCGCTGTATTTAATCTGTGAAACCATCTCCACTTCCTGTGCTCCAGGTTACCTCCAGGAGGCCTACCTGTGGACCAAGCAGGTCCTGTCCATTATGGAGAAGTCCATGGTCCTCCTGCAGGACGTGACGGACGGCTCCCTGTATGAAGGCGTGGCCTACGGGACGTACACCACCCGCTCTCTGTTCCAGTACATGTTCCTGGTGCAGCGCCACTTCGCCATCAGCCACTTCGACCACCCCTGGCTCCTCAAACACTTCGCCTTCCTGTACAGGACCATCCTGCCGGGTAACTGTCACTTTTTTCAACAGGCCAATTAATCCACGAGTAAGGGTTAATTTAGCTACGACTGGCTAATACATCCAGTTAGTCCGTACAAGAATGCTTTATCCCAAAAGTTGGACGTATAAGGTTTCGACGTGAACATAACCTCAGGCAGGCTGCCACATTGGAGAGCGGCTCCTCCTCCTGAGCCAATACAGGGGTATGCATGCGTGTACTTATTACCTTCCTGGATGCAAAGCTGACCTGAGGCCTGCAGGGATATGTGGTGTCCTGGAAGTTCAGTCTGTCTGAAGGTCAGGGGGGGGGCAGCAGTGGGGGAGGGGCCCCTAGGTCAGGCTAGCCCCCCTTGCCAACAGTTTCTGTATTGTGGTTGAGCATCACCTCTAATTACATCAGCCCAGGAGAGCCTTGGATCCGGTGCCACAATAGCAGCATGAATGTGCTGAGAGGGGCTCAAGACTCAAGTCTAAGGATTACTGAAAGGGGTTAAAATACCAGTCAGAGGGAGAGCCTCGATGTCTGAATGGTTAGATGCCCTCTCTCCTCCCGTGTCCTATCTGCCTCTTCACTATCAACTGTCCAATAAAAATGCCCCAAAAAAAGGTCAGTGTCAGTTGAAGTGCATTGCCTGAATGAAGTTGAAGTGTCAGCTGCTTACGGTTGTGAAGTGAACACGAGAATCAGATGAGGTTTAAACACCAAAAAGAACCGAAACGGCAGGTGTAAGGGATAAAAGGAGTGATAAGTGGAAGTGCCGAAATACAACGCTGTCAGGTAAAGTGTCAGTTGAAGTGGAGTGAAATGTCTCTCTAACTTTAAGCACTAAAAGGAGTTGAAGTGCCAGTCCAAGTCTCAGCACTGAATGGAGCTGAAGTGTCAGTTGCTCCTCCTGCGCTGCCGTGCTGTGTAAGTGATACGAGGAGTTGGAGGTTTCTGTGGAAGTGCTCGAAGACGTCAGTGGAAAGTATCGCTTCTAAAAGATGTCGCAATGCCAGTGAAACTGCTCACAACAAGGCCTGCGAACACAAGCAGAGAGTGCCATGTAGTTCCGTTATGTTGGAGAGAAGGCAGACATCTCTACGGCCGATGCCTCCAACACTCGGCAACCCACACCAAAACAATCGACGAAAAACACGTTTGTTTTTGTTTTTGGGGTGAACAGTCCTTTTAAATCAGTTACAATGTGAGTTGATGTGTCAGCACTTATAGGAGTTGAAGTGTCATATCTGCTGTCGTCTCACTGCAGGTGTCTGTACAAAGAGAATGTACTTGACAAGAGTGTTTCTGTTGCGCTTTTTGTTCACGGTTGTTTTTGGTTGACAAATGATCGACTGTGATTGCATGCTGTAGTTACTGTAGCTGGTTACTAAGAAGCCTCTCACCCCCAGAGTTAAAGGTCTACCCGACATAATTACAGGCAACAGAACTGTGTGAACAATTTGCGCTTGGTTTGGGACTGAGCTGGGTCACAGCAGAGGGGACTGAGGTTCATGCTGTGTGTGTGGGGGGGGGCACTTTTGTTACATATCCGTGACTTTAGGCCAAACATTTGCACTGAGCTCTGTGTGGCAGCGTGTTGGAATTAACAAAGAATCCGCATACAAGTGATATTTTCATGCATCGTTGGCACCGCAAACTTAAACATCAGTCAAAGCGTCAGCATTTTATTGGTCACGTTTGCCCATTATTTACGATGTCAAATACTTCTGCGGGACACCTCCGTGAAAGGCCGCCCCTGACGTTTTGCTCTCTGTGTTTTTCACCGTCTCCGCAGGCTTTCAGAGGACCGTGGCCATCGCAGACTCCAACTACAACTGGTTCTATGGGCCGGAGAGCCAGCTGGTCTTCTTGGATCGCTACGTGTTGCGTAACGGCAGTGGAAACTGGCTGGCAGATCTGATTCATCAAAACAGGGTGACGGAGGGGCCAGGGCAGGCTGGAAAAGGCCAGCGATGGTGTACTCTTCACACTGAGTTCATCTGGTGAGCTGCTGAATTTGGTTTCATAATAGGAAACATATGACTACAATTTTCTTTTGATGTTTAGAGCTATTATTAAACTACTCTATTGGTAAAGTAGCTCGCTTTTTCGGCCTTCATTTCTTATTTCCAAGGACTTGCCATGGTCGAGATATTGGGATTAATAAATTTTCAATTAGTCATTTAATCTAGAAAGTAATGACAAGTACCGTATTTTCCGCACTATAAGGCGCACTGGATTATAAGGCGCACCTTCAATGAATGGCCTATTTTAGAACTGTTTTTATATATAGGGCGCACCGGATTATAAGGCGCATAGAATAGAAGCTACTACAGTCAAACGTTTGACAGGGGTTGCGTTATGCATCCACTAGATGGAGCTGTGCTAAAGGGAATGTCAACAAAACAGTCAGATAAATCATTCAGTCAAACTTTATTGATTTTTGATTTCATTCACAATACGGTAACTTAAACGTAGAGGGGAACTTTTCCCTGATTCAGTAAACACGTAAAAGAAACAGTCTGATACCACTAAATCAAACGTTAGTGCATTCACAATATAGTAACTCTCGAAATTGTTCAACTTACATATAAAACGTAGTTAGTGCATTCACAATAACTCAACGTTGTTCAAACGTTAATGTGCATATTCACAATATCTCCCAGCCTTGTTCAGTTGTAAACACGTAAAAGAAACAATCTGATACCGCTAAATCAAAAGTTAGTGCATAACTCAACATTGTTCAGTTATGGTACGTATATAACACGTAAAGCTCACTTTTTCAGTTCATTCCCCGTCCACGAATCCCTCGAATTTTTCTTCTTCAGTGTCCGAATTGAACAGTTGGGCGAGTACGGCATCCAACATGCCCGGCTCCCTCTCGTCATTATCCGAGTCAGTGTCGCTGCTATTGCCTGGCAGTTCAGTGATTATTCCTGCCTTCGTGAAAGCTCGGACCACAGTTGAGACTGATATATCAGCCCAGGCATCCACGATCCATTGGCAAATAGTGGCATAAGTCGCTCGGCGCTGTCTCCCCGTCTTGGTGAACGTGTGTTCGCCTTCTGTCATCCACTGCTCTATTCCCATGTTCGGCTGCGTAGCTGACAGCCTTGAGTTTGAACTCAGCGTCGTAAGCGTGTCTCTTGAAAGGTGCCATTTTGGGGTCTTTATACACACAAGTGGTGTTGGACTAGGAGTAAGCACAGTACCGGTGTTTACCGCTATTACTTCGGCGACGCCCCTGACTACGGTAGCCGTAATGCTGCAAGCGGTGCGGCTTTGTAGTTTACCAGTCGTACTGAAACATTTTGACAGAGCGCCGTGTACAACCAGTATAGATCAACCAATTAACCAATTGATCCATATATAAGGCGCTCCGGATTACAAGGCGCACTGTCGTTTTTTGAGAAAATTAAAGGCTTTTAAGTGCGCCTTATAGTGCGGAAAATACGGTATACATAATAATTTCCCATAGCCCACTTTCAAAAACCATATGGTGCTCAATTTACGATTTGAAACAGAGAAAAAGCAGCAAATCCCACGGGACCAGCCAAGCCAAAGCTTTATCCTCTAAAGAATGGAAGCAAAAGGAGGCAGCTACCCGGGCTCTGTTCAATGTTAAACAAATCCAAAGTTCTCCATTTAACACGTTACATCTTGTTTGTTTACTTCGGACAACAAACGAAATATAAAAAACAAGACATGGCCAAAAAAACAATTCCAGCACTTCCTGTAAAACCTCAATTTGTAGTTTTTACATTTTGTTTTTATACAGACAAGCTTATTCTTTGTGTTATTCTTTAGCAGACAGACATATAAGTGCTTTTGATCTTTATATGTACTATTGATCTCACAGCTTTTCTCTTAGGGTTGCCAAAAGGCATTGTGGGAAAACTTAGGGAATCGTATAATCACAGTACATGTAAAAGAGGCAGTTTGATAAATAAGTTAGTTCACCAAAAATGTTAATTGCAGCATGTCATCACTAAATCACCTCTGGAAAAGCCTTAAACTGAAAAGACTTTCCACCAGTGGTTGCTTGTGATTGATGTCCGTGTTGGTAATCTATCATCCTGATACCCGTCCTCTCATGGTGCCCTACAGGTATGACCCGGGACTGATTGCTAAGCCTCCGTCAGACTTTGGAACGTCCCAACTCCACCACTTTGAGGATTGGGGCGTGGTGACGTACGGCAGTGCTCTACCCGCAGACACCAACCGCACCTTTCTCTCCTTCAAGTCCGGGAAGCTGGGGGGGCGCGCCATCTTTGACATCGTTCACAGGAGCAAGTACAAAGAGTGGATCAAAGGGTGGAGGAACTTCAACGCCGGCCACGAGCACCCGGATCAGAACACGTTCACGTTTGCGCCCAACGGCGTCCCGTTCATCACCGAGGCGCTGTACGGACCCAAGTACACTTTGTTGAACAATGCGGTGTTGTTCAGCTCCACGGTCTCAGGGAGCTGCTTTAAGCCGTGGGCTGGACAGGTAACGGAAGCCTGCGATTCCAAGTGGCTGAAGTACAAGGTGGGGCTGGCGGCCGACGCCCAGGGCAAAGTGGAAGCCGCGATGGAGAGACAGGGAATGGTCTTCATCCGTGGCGAGGGACAGTCCGCTTATAACCCGGAGCTGAAGATCAGGAACTTCCAGAGAAACCTGCTCCTTCTTCACCCGCAGCTCCTGCTCCTCGTGGATCACATCCACCTGCATCCAAACAGCCCGACCCGGGCCATGAGCGCCTTCTTTCACAACACGGATCTCCCGTTCCAGGGTACAAAAATAGACGGCGTTCACGGAGCGTTTGTGTCACACGGCGAGGATAAGTACAAGATGTTTTGGCTGGACGACACAGGCTACAGCAACAAAGGAGTGGTAGGTTATTGGAATTACCCCCAAGGGTACCCGTACAATGGCTCCAACTATGTGAACGTCACAATGCCGTTGAGGTACCCTCACACCAGGGTGGCCTACATTTTCTTCGGGCCAGGCGTGGACGTACAGAGCTTCAGCCTGCGCGGCGACGACCAGAGGGTGGACATTTACCTGGCCACCAAGGACCACACGTACACAATCTACCTGCTGACCGGGGAGCTCATCAGCAAGCCCCTGTTCGCCATGGTGCTGCTGGACCACAAGAAGGTCGTGTTCGAGAAGGCGGCGGCGGGCGCGGAGGACAGCTCGCCCGACGAGGTGGAGGAATACGTCAACGTGATGGAGGACAACCTCCAGCACGTCAAGCCCGTCTTCCAGCAGATGGAGAGACACATCCTAGGACAGGTCCTCAACACCGCCAGCTTCCACAAGACCGCGGAGCGCCTCCTCCAGTTCTCCGATAAGAAGAAGACGGAGGAGGTGATAGAGAAGATGTTCACCATGTCGAAGAAGCAGGGCAAGGGCAAAGGGGGGAAGAAAGTGAACCTCGGGGAGAAGCTTTCAGAGAGTCTGCCCGACATTTTTGCACAGATTGAGGTGAATGAGAAAAAGGTGCGCCAGAGGACTTCAAAGCGTACGTACGAAGACAGTCCAGAGGAGGGAGAGGGGGCCTTCATGGATTATGCAGACGGCCGCAAAAACAGAAAGGGGGCCTTTGTCAAGGGCCGTAAATTCAAGGAGGTTCACATGGTGGCCACGGCCGGGAGCGAGGGTCTCTCCAGCATCGCCTCCTACATACGACTCTTCCTCCTCCTGAACACCGCCACCTTCTTTCTGCTGCTGGCCATGTTACTGACCCGCTTCCAGAGGGGTCGGAGTTTGAACACGCAGAGGTGTTTCTACACCATCCTTCTGATGGACTGCTTCATCTTACTGTACCTCTACTTGTCATGCTCTCACACAGAGTGTTGACGTCACCGCGGTGGGAGGGGGGGAGGGGGGGTTCCGTCCAGACTGCAGAACGAACGACGTGTTGTTCACGGGTTTGAAGTAAACGCTGCACCCCAGAACCTCGGTCCGAGCCGGATCTTACGACACAATGTTAGGGCCAGTTTTAGAAAACAAAGGAAAAATATCTGAGATTTCAAGAATAAATGTTTTAAATATTTTGAGAATAAAAGGTCATGTTGTAAGAATAAAGAAAAAAAAAGAAGTCACAATATTCCATCAGTAAAGCCTTAATGGTGTGAGATTCTCATTTGCTCTTGCTCAGCTTTAACTAAGTTAGGGCTGCGACTGGGCTGAAAATCTAGGTTTCATCTATGAACACAAAATAGACATTTTAACTTGACATTTCCTAAAAATTACGATTTCATTTTCATAATATTATGCATTTTATTCTAAGAATATTATGTCTTTTCTTCTCATAATATCTTTTATTTGAATAATATTTTTTTTTTCCTCCACAATTACGACTTTATAGTACTATTATGATTTCTTTATTACTTGTTTTTTTTGCTCTCATAATCTTCTAGAATTTACCACTCCTACTATCACTTTTTCTATTATTTTTATAAAACACAAAATCGCAAATTTGCCTCAGGATAGTAATCTATAAAATGACAACTTCATTCTCATAATATTATGACTTTTTCTAGAAATCACAACTGTATTCTCACAACATTCTGACTCCTCCCCCCAGAATATTCTAAGTGTGTCCTTGAAATCTTTTTTTTTTTTTAACTGTGGACCAAATACTCGTGAGATCTACCGAATGGGTAACAGGAAAAGCAAGTGATTCCAAATAGGAATTGATGAATTGCCGAGATGAAACCAGACCTCTGATGTAACGAGCTTCTGTGGAGCTTTGGAACCGAGTCTTGAGTGAAGTTTGTTCCTGTGTTGTGTTCAGAGGCCTCGTGTCAAACTCAGCCACTACGATACAGTCAACACATCTCTGCTCGACATTTGTCTACATCGTTCATGGAAAGACATTTAAATGTGAAAGCGCGATATATTTTTATGGTGTTTTTGTTTTTTACTTGCTATTGTAAATATAATTACTACATGCATAGGTTTCATTGTGTGTTGTGTCTAGTAGTAAATGGTAGCCAAGACAGCTCAACGCACTGCAACTTAAACAGACACATAAAGAAAAGATCTTCACGCCTTTGACACATTGCATTTAGAAAAAAACACATTGGAAGTCTAACTATGAATCCAGAAAACACAAGATAAATACAGAATAACTGCAAGTCCACCAGGACACGACGAAAAACCGTTTCATTGTTTTAAGAATGCTCAGTCAATTTCAAAGACAGCTGGTCGCGTTCAACGTCCTTCTCAAACAGGAGGAGAGTTGTTGGGGACTATTTTCGGTGGTGGATTGATACACATTCCCAAAGACCCACAGGTGGGTCGCAGAAGATTTTCATCCGCAGTCTTTTATTTAACATTTATATCTGCCGTACGTCTTTGAGCCACATGAGAGATGCCGGAATGTTTGTGTTCTGATAATCGAAGCCTAATTATAAAATTGAGTGTATTATGAAAGGCTAGTGTACATGCTGTTTGCTTTACAGATGAGAGGAAATGAAAAGAATGAGTCTGTTAACTCCACCTGAAGGCATTTATTTGGTCTCATTTCTAAAGTACATACCTTGTTTTTTAAATTGTAGCATGTTGAGGTGTCATGGCCACCATAATATGTGGTGTCATAGTAAAAGGTATACTGTAAGAGAATGTGGTTATCAAGCACGGCTCATCAGCCATTCAATAGCCAAAACATTAAATAAAAAATGTGTTCTCCAAATGTAGAGAACCTGTTTTCAGACAAACACAGTGGAAGGTTTTATTTGTTTCATGTTGATGCTGATAGACATCTGTTTTAACTCTACAAGTCAACAGTCTAGACACTCGACTCCTCCTTCCCTTCAAGCCTCACATGAATCAACGTGTCTCGGAGCCGTGTTTTTTTTGTTTCGTTTCAAATCCACCGTCTCAACGCAGCAAATAAGTTGGATTAAAAACATGCAAACATCAGGGATCAGTACTGAGTTTTATTATCAATGGAATAAATTTAAAAATAAAAAGCACTTTTTTTGATGACAATGAAAAATCATGTCTGTCTGTGTTCCACTGAATTTGTCTTATTGGTCTGTGTGTGTGTGTGTGTGTGTGTGTGTGTGTGTGTGTGTGTGTGTGT